AAGAAAACATTTAGTAAAAATCCCCACCCAACTTCCCTCTGAGACAGCCTGAGAGATGGAACCATGGTGATTTCCCACAGAGGGAGTTAGGAAAAGCGCCACCGTACGCCACATTAGCATTTCAAACCTGGGGGGGGGGGGGGGGGGGGAGAGCATGAATGAAGCCTTGGCGTCAACTTCCCTCAGCCCACACAATAAAGCTGATATGTGATGAGTGGGAAAAGGGTGGAAATTGGATCCACAGAGCTTTGTGGATTCTGATTTTTTCTTTTTTCAAAGAAAGCGCAGAGAGAGAAAAACAATAAAGAAGGTGTCTGCTCAGTGTTCGGCCAACAGAAGTCGAGAAAAAGCCTCGGCTGGGATTGAAAAACTTCCCCTGACACTCCATCTTGCCAGTGATTGGCTGATGGCAGCAGAAAATGTCATGACTCTCACACTCTTCAGGGATTTTTTAAAGTCACGAGGACTAAAGCAGCGCGACCCCGAGAGAGACGGCTCCATCCGCAGAGCAAATCCCACCGCTTTAGGATCCAGGGGATCACCGAAAAGACAAATCTTTGTACAATCACGCAACACACACACACACACACACACAAAGCCCTGTAATCCACTCTTAGGTTGAGTCCTTCACATTTCCAAAGCATAGTTCACCAAAAGGTCCAAAAACAACAGAAAAAGCAAAGATGTCACCAGCGTGGGTCCTGCCAGTGACCTTTACCCAGTGCCAGCCCCCCAACACCCCCCCTCTGGTCCCGCTGATGCTGGTAACTACACACAAAAGACCCGAGAGTCAGAGGCTGTTAACAATGGATGAAAACACACACACACCTGGAAACATTCTTCCTGTTCTAACACTCCACACAGAGCCGCGGGCTGTCCGGCCTCATTAAGCCTGTTTACTGAATTAATCAAAAGAATGAGGACTTATCAGATCAAGGTCTGGAGCGTTCCATCCTGGAAAATCTTGAATAAATCTCCACAAAAATGGAGTTGTTGTAATACTACTTGTAATATCCACGCGGGTAAAAAGTATTTCAGCTAGATGAACAAACATCCTGATATTTTAAGCCCCTCCGGAGGCACACAGCCCTCATCCTGCCTTCATCTGAAATAATGGAATTAGACAGATACTAAGTGCCTGACCTCTGCATTCAGCTGGGTTGCAAGCCTTTTAAAATTCCACGATAAAACACAGAAGGCAACTTTTCATGTGCAGACAGCGGTGCATTCAATGGATCTGAAAGTTTTTTACAAACTGGGTCCGACTCTGCCGTTCAGTGCGGATCAAAACTAATTTTAGATTTTCATTCATCGTAATAAACCACGTCGACTAGTCAACAAACAGCTCTCCATTTAAGAGCTCCGGGTCAGCTCGACCCTTCATCTGTTTGACTGACACACACGCTGGTTTGCCGTTACTCCGTGTTCAACCTTTAATATCCAATTTCACCTGAACCACCAACAACAACACCTCTCCGGAAATAACACACACATCAGGACATGCTGGAGGACACGCGTTTAGTTTAAGAGAAAAAGGCCTCACCCTCCCTCCCATGGCCAAAAGCAGGGATGGCTTTGTCTCAGCACCAGCTCTGATGGAGCATAGGTGTGGAGGTCCCCTCCCGTTGGAGCTGAATAGATTTAAACTTTATGTGGAGCACCTGGGCCAGTCGGGGTTAGTGGCCCAGCAACAGCAAACAAGCACACCCTTTGACTCACTTGGATCTATTTTTGCTCTTCAAGGACTGATAAATAAGGAGAAAAAAAAGGTAATCTGACTTGCAGTAATTAATTTGACTTTTACACTTGGTTGTGAAAAAGAAGAAAAAAGAAGGAGAATGGGATTTTGTTGGCCCCGGCTTTCGTCTTGGGAAGTACCCCTCGCTCCTGATTGTGCTCAGGCCATTGTTGTTGGGGGGGTTCCTGCTCTTGTGTGGTAATGAGGTAATGTGTGTGTGTGTGGGTGGATGCGTGTCCAGGCGGGCCCGTGGAGCTCACAGCGCTGGTCTGACAGCGGACGTCCGCTCACCCAGCGTGAAAGACAAACAACACCCCCAGAGGCCCCCGTGCCCATGTGGGCACATTTCCTGCTCCCAGCTGGACCCCCCCAGCTAAAACATCTGACCGGTGCTTCTGCTGTCTGCCAGTCTAGCTCACTTTTTAGGGCAGCCTTTAAGAAAAAGTCCAAGCTGCTGTTGAGAATATTTCTGATTCTGATTCTGAGGCTGTCCAGTAACAGATACTGTCACTTCCTCATCCAAAACTGTCACCAGATCCCAGG